TTACTATACAATTACCAACCGAACACGACGTTATTCCTACAAAGCCTCTCGCAGAAAGAATCACACTGGATCCGCCCCTCCCCCCTCCCCCCCTTCCCCCCCTCCAAACCTCGATTTTGTGAAAGAATCTCAGTCGACCCTCCGCCCCCCTCCAAACCTTTGCTTTGCTGCGAAAGAATCACAGTCGACGCCCCCCCCCCACCCCAACCGCCCCCAACATGCGATATATAATCAACACGATCCGTCGTTTTCCAGACCTTGACAGCCACTACTGCGCCTAGCTCCGCTAGCTTTCGTGCAAGTGCTCACTTCAATCTCATGCAGCTGCGCGCATGTTTTGCAGCCGGAGGCGGCCGTAGGTGTGTGAAACATCCCTCTAACCACGGTCTCCTGGTCTTTGACCGACCTTGGGTACGACACTGAACTCTCAAGCACTTGTCTCTAAAGTTGCAAGCCGCACAACATCGCGGCAAAGTAGCACTATGCTAAGAGTGTGACTTTGCCGACCATTCTTACGTGCCACTGATGAGTGGAGGTTGTTCGACTCGCTTTTCAGCATCTCTTGTTGAGACGCTAGCTTTGTACAATTGCGCACCAAAGGCGCAGCCAACAGGCGCATGTCAGGCGGCAACTTCATTGGCTACTCTTTCCCGCACCTGGGTCGAGAAGGAAACCGGCAGCCCAAAAGCAAATGCCGCCTTTCTCTCCCGCCTGTTCAGCTCGGCTCCGCAGCATGTTGCTCTCAAAGTCGAGGTGTCCGCCTGAAAGCTTTTCAACCCATCAGCACGGCTTGCTCGTAAGACATGATTTCTGGCATGCCTCGGTCTTTTAATTCTGAGAGCTTCCTTTCGAGCTCCTTTGCGGCAGCTTACATTGAATTGCGTAAAGCGAGAGCTTCGTAGAAACTGCAATTTGCAACAATGGATGTAAGTACATGCAGGTCCTCGCCTTGCACTCTCCGCTCAGCAGGGCTAGAGTCCCTCTGTCACGATCCTCGTCATCCTGGATCATTGACACTCAAGGGGTGGCTTGTGCTTGCACCTGTCATCGTTCGGTTCAAGACACCAGAGAAAAGTAAGCTGGATGAAACACTGGCAGAACTGTCTGCGACACCACCCATGACAGTTCAATGTCCTTGCAGTAAACCTGCTCCTAGACAAGCAGGCCTCGCTGTTTTGCCGAGATCTCTTGAAATCATCTTTCGCCTCAGAATAATGGCAATCGGACATGCTGGGTTTGTTGGCGGTGTCGCAAAGGAACGCCCATTATACACCTCTTGGGGGTCTATGCCAGTGTCTCTCCCAGAGTGTGAACTTCATGCGCGACCTACACTTCGGGCGCTTTTGCTTTCCACAGCCTAGATTGCCACGGCCAAATGTGAAGGTCTGAAATCCAAGGGAGGTTGTCACAAGGACTGTCTTGTATCTTTGGGACGCAATTCTGCTGACACGAGCAATCAGCACTGCAACCTGATGCAATACTGCAAACTGATGTAGCGCAGTTCAAACTGCTCATGGCCGGCATGCTACACACAGCGCATGCCAAAAGCTTGTCTTTGTGTGTCTCACTCATCTGTCTGATCTGATTGACATTGCACATGAACTACCCTTTCCCTACAGCATGCTCGGTACACACCTTGCCTTCTTTTTGGCAGTGTGTGGCCATCGGAAAGCATCGCACTCACGCATGCAGCCAAAGAAGCCCCAGTTTATTTTGTGTTTGGGGTTGTCAGATGCCTATCCCCTTGGGATCCACCAGTAAATGGAGTCCTCCTTTCTACATGCGTGAGTCCGGTGCCTTCCTGTCGCTATGTAGAGGTTTTTAAAAATGGCTATCGATACCGTTCCTTGTCTCCGAGACATACGTGGTTTGCGGCGTCAGCAAGGGACTATGCAGTATGCATGTACAGGGGCAGCCAGGGAAGTCTGAGATGGGTTGCCCCCACTTGAACTTGACACCTGGACCCAATAGATACCTAGGCACGCCCCATCGCAGACTTTGGCAAAACTGAGAAACTTGCACAGCCTATTCTCAGACGGTAACACACCACCATGGCATGGACAAAAGACAGCTTACATGCTGGAAGGTGCTGGCACCACAGCAACCAGCCCTAATTTTCCGAGTGTGTCAGTGTGCCTCTCAAGGCTTACTTTGCCAATGACTGAGTGCCAAGCAATCTCCAGATCATCTCGCAGAATTGCAAGATCTTCCATTGATCTGATTCACGGAAAAGTGCATGAGCTGAAACACATTTGTCGGGTTCGTTTTCTCAAAGCTGAAAACACAGCTAAACGCTTTGCCTTCGCAAAGCTGCCTGCAACTTGCTGTACTCTTGCGCATAGTCCAGCAACTGGTCCTGGAGTCTGGAGTCTAAGTTCACAAAAGAAAAAGGCATAAAGCAGAGTCAGAGGTAAAGTGTATGTAGGCCACAGACACGAGCAGCAGCAATGTTCCCTCGGTAGCGAAGCTCCCGGTCCTTCAGATGGCACAAGGCGAAGATCACTTTCACACTTTTCAACGTCGACCCGAATGGGTTTCAACGTCGACCCGAATGGGTCCTGGAATCCTTCAGCAATCAAGCCGGTGCGGTGGATCGTTCCCTCAGCTGCCTGCAGGTGTCCAAGGGCCAAGGAACAGTTCCATGAGACATTCAGGCTGCCCGTGCTGGTGATGCACTTCCAAACGCACGTCTTTCATTGCTGCCAAACACGAGGCCTGCCATGAAAAGGAATAGCACTTGGCAAAGAGCGTCAACTCTGCTACCTAATGCTACCTGCATACTGTCGGCCGTTCCCTTTGCCTGCACTTTGACAGTGCCTGTACGGGAAGTTATTCTTCTCGAGTACACTGGAACGAATTAAGCCCTGTTTAGACTCGACGCGGATTTGCAAAAGACTCGTGAAAGTCCTCTACACTTTCCTCCTCCTCAAGGAGACCACCTGACACACATATGCGGATTCCGCGGTTGTCTGTGGTCGAAGCGCGAGAATCCTTTGGTCGCTAAGCGCAGGGCTCATTTCCAATCTCCTGATGCGGTTTACCTCGATTTGTATTTCCTCCACTGCTTGTCCTCTGCGACCCTCTTCGCAAGTGTCGCAGCGAACCTCTGTAAAGCGGCCACCCAGAAGATGCATTGAACAAGCAACATGGCTTGAGGATGGCACTTGCCGGATTTCGAACATAGCGCCTGTAATGGTCTTTTCATTGCTGGTGGCTGGCAGAAGGCACGATGAGTTGCAGCAAGCACATCACGTAAGCCCCTCGCGGACAATGCGTGGCACGTTCCACCCTCTAGCAGCTGCCAAGCCTTTCCAGGAAAGACCCCACAGCACGGTGGAAGGAGTCAGCATTGACTAAAAGGGCCTGTAACAGGAACTGCCAAGCCGGCACAGAGACACAGAAACACCACGTGAGTGGTTGCTCCTCGCCACTTGCATAGCAGCAACAGAACAGCTTTGTGCTCAAGAAGCTGTCCAGCGCCTGGATTGGCCGTCTTCGTCCTCAGCGGGCGCAACCTTCACAAATGCGGAGAATGGCCTGCAACTAAAAAAATCCTGCGCAGCAGAAGACTGCCTGCCATCGAAATGCACCGTCTCTGGAAAGGTATCGAGAAGCATATCCTGCATCAGCAGCCCAAGCTTGGATCCCGCTTCCTGCCAGATGCAATAACGTTTGTTGCAGAAGCAGACATGGATTCGCTAGAAACAAATAACAGGTTCTTGTTGTCACTCCTGCCACGCGCTTGCTGTCCAATGCTGCTCCAGCACAAAGAGGGAAGAAGCTGCGGCGTTGAGGATCTTTTCCTGAACCAATCCGCACCAGTCGCTCAGAGACCGAGACCAAGAGACCAAGGTCCGGGCTGGTGGCGACCGAAAAACAGTGACTGACTGCAGAAACATCTTCTGAGCGCTGCCCTGCCTTGGCCAGCTTCTCGCATGCATAATTCATGGAGGCAGAAGTGCAAAGCTTGGATTCGAACAGTCCACAGTCTTGGAGGATGATAGGCAGTTCTTGCAAGATTCGCCCCAACTGAGCCTTGGATACAACAGCGCCCTTGCGGCTCCAAATCCAAAAGGCTGCTGCCACCGCTTGCACCCGCTGCTCCAAGCAAACGTCACCATCTACGCTCAGGTTGCGAGTTCGAAGGGCTTTGTAGGGTCCAGGCCAGCTGTTGCACTTCTCGGCTAGTCACTTGCTCATCAGGCGTTGAAAAGCCTAGGCATGCTGGCTACTCTACCGTGCTGTCATGTACTTGGTTCCAGGGATCCAGCTCCAAAGCTTCTGACTTGGAGCCACCCTGAGCAAGACCTCGCCAATAGAGTCCCAAACCTCCTGCGGTCAACAGGTATGCAGCTAGACATTCAGCAGCCAAAGGCACCAGCACCTCTAGCGCAGGTAATGTAGGGCTCGTTTTACCAATGCAGTGACCGAACAGGACGGGGTGCTCCCATAGAAAAGCAGCCTGTACATCACACGATCCCACCTGCTGGCTCTGGAGTTCACTGGTTCTGCCAAGGTGCATGGCCATCTGATCTGTGACCGAAAAAACTGCGCAGTAGCGCGGACGTCACCTGTCGCCAAGCCGGTCCATCCAGTCAGGAATGGCACATCTGACAGGAGCCTCAAGAAGCTCAGAAGAAGGTGGACGCTTTGGTCTCGGCAAAGTCATAGCATCCTGCCATCCCAAATACTTGTGCTAAGCGAATTCTATCATGTTCTATCTTGACTCTGAATTTCCTCTGCTTGCTTTGTTGAGGATGTAGCCTCACCCAAAGCCTCACACCAAGTCCAACATGGCCACGGCACCGAAGGCAAAGTAAGAAGCTTCTGTTGAACAGAGGAGCCCGTCTCCAAAGCTGCCCAAGATCTCGACCAAACGAGGCGTACTCCTCCGCTACCGATGCTTTCAACGAGCCTGTCTCAACCTTTTAGGCTACGACGGCTCTTGCCCTGCCCTGCCTCCTCAGAAAAATCCTTCGAAGCTGTGACCTGGGCCGTGAAAGTCTGGGGGCGCCAACATTGTCACAGTAGAACAACTTGGCATCCAGCCAAGTCATCATGAATGTCTACGTGTTGCAGCATCAAGCGTCCATCTTGCGCTTGCCTTGTCGAGCGCATTTCTGTTGCTCTCAGTATCGTTTTCGAGGCTTCTGGGTGCGCAGCAACAACAACAGGGCATCGCTGGCCTTCCTGGGCACGCGCAAACTTGCAGGTAACTGCATTGCTCTATCGCTGTCTTGCGCCTAACGATGCAGCAGCCAAACTTAGCAAGGGGCCGAAGATCAAGCAGAAGCTCGTTTGAGAAACATGCCACGGCTATGTGGCCCTGGACAGGCCACTGTTCCAGGACTTCACCATGGCATGAAGAGCTGTTGAAAACGCATGCCGCATGTCGCATCGTGATGGATCCCCAAAGCTTCAGAAGCAACCACAGCACAAGATATTCGGCTGCAATGATAGCAGTAGCTGGCGGCTGTAGGGATACAAGAACAGACAAGCATTATTCTGTCTAGACAGCCTAGACCGCTTGTGGCGTGGTCTGAGGCTTTGGTTTGCTTACGTCTCGGCGGCCCACTTAAAGGGGACCCTGGGAAGCACAATACTTGGAAGTTATCATCTCTAATTCTAAAGCATGCAGGCCAGACGCAAGCTTTTGCAGAATACTCGTAATCAACCGTTATGCCAAAACACCCGGCAAACGCATTTTGCCGCCACTCTGGCGGAGGCCTCGAAGTAGATGTTAATGGTGCGCTTACCAACTTTTCACAAACCTTTGTACACAAAAACACGCCGATAAATACGTGAGATGCGACTACGACGACGACGATTGCTACTACTACTACTACTACTGCTACTACTACTACTACTACTACTGCTACTGCTACTTCTGCTACTACTACTACTACTACTATTACTATTACTACTCTACCACTACTACCAGTACTACTGCCACCACCACCACCACCACCACCACCACCACCACCACCACCACCACTACTAGTACTACTTGTACTACTAGCACTACTCGTACTACCAGTACGACTACCTACTAGGTACCCGGCGGTGAAAAAACTCCCCAAGAAGCGGAGATATAATGATATGATACAATGCTATCATAAGTTTTCGCCACCCCACGCCTGCCAATGATGATGACATGACAATATAACTCAAAAAGAGACAATACCATGATAGTAAGCATAATCAGAATGAAGGCATCGTGATACTCATACGTGAACAGGCGCACAATAGTTCAGCAATGATAGTAATGGGATGATGACCACAGCAACAACTTCTTGTTCGCTGCGCGGCAACTACAATCTCATGTTAGCGCTTCAAAATTTCCATGCAGGCTCAGGCTTCACGAGGCCACGAAAATGTACCGTCACAAACGTACCCGGAGCCTACTCCTCGTACTACTACTACTACTACTAGTACTACTAGTACTATTACTACCACTACTTTACCATAATAACGTCCTTGTTCGAAAACATACGATTACCATAGCATCTCAGCGCAAGGCCCTCCTTGTAAACCTTGCGGCCAGTACCAGCACAGGACGTTTTTTGTCTGCAAGGCATGAAACACAGCCCCTGCCGCACGACACTTCATTACTTGTGAGCGCCAAGGGCTTCGGACCCCGGCCGTTGCCTCTATGCCTGTGATTGCCACATTGCCCACGACGAACCCGCGTAAACGCACAAGCGCGTTGCCTACTACTCTGGCTACGACTACGGCTCCTACTTCCAAGAAGCCATCGGAAAAGATTCATAAAACTCAATATAAGTTGTTAAGGGAAGTAAGTCTTCAATGCGAACATTGACAATCCCTTGAACAACGTGGAGTTCGCGTCAGTTTTTAGGGATAGAATAAAAGTGACGGGAAGAAAAAGGGGTGGGAAGAAGGCATATTGGATAGAGACCACAACGCAACGTATCTTCCGAGAACATTGGACCAACCTAGCACGAGTTGAGGTATGACCACACCTCCCACACGCCCCCATTAGCCAGCTCAGAGCAGGCGCCAATGCGTGCACCACATAGATTGCACGCCCGGTGATAATCTTTTACAAGGACCGGAGATTCCCACATGTGTAGTTTAACCTAAATCTAAGTGAAATGATATTAGGATAGTGTCGCCCGCCGAAATAAGAAAGCATCGCCAGCACCAGCACCAGCACCAGCACCCGCAGCGGCAGCGGCAGCGGCACCCCAGCACCCCAGCACCCCAGCACCCCAGCACCAGCACCCCA